ATGATACTTGATTACTCGTACAGATTATATGACATTACTTATGTGCCCCTGATGGAATACGCAATTAAGTGGTACGTACGTGTGTTGGATGCAACCCAGGTGCATCCCGTGCACTGGCTCGTCGGCGAATAGGGTAGAGATGCTGCAACCAGCCAAGGATGGGCCCGACACCGTAGAGTTTTGCTCGGTTCGAAAAGCCGAATCATGCGGGTATACAGTAGAGAGGATACGTTCGTAGGAATCCAGAGGCTTTGCAGCCTCGTTGCGCCAAAAATAGCCCGCCAAATAACTTGCAAGGGCACCGAGGGTCCCCACCACAATGATCGCCAGGCTACCGTGCAAGTTCTTGACCCATTCGCTTTTTTTGGTTCCTATTAACCTATGTTGCAGGATATTCCTGCTCGCAGCAGCTCCTTTGACGTCCTTACATGAATTCATTTTATTGATTTCATTGGTATCCTTATTAACTGAGCGTGTTGATTTCATCATGGGCGCGACCTGTGTGATATGTGTCCCGTTTCATGAGAGGCTTGGAAGTAGCACGAGCTCACAATGAGAGTACATAGCAAGACAACTCAGCATCACATTCAATGTATGTGAATACACGATCCGTCAACCTCTAGCGGCAATTGAATCGCACAGACCTATTTGGACACCCCGTCTCCCGCTCCGTTTGCCAGCTTTCTCCTCGATGGGCCCACCTCCCCGCGTTCCCGCCCCTGAGGAGCCGTGTTCCCTTTTCCATCACAATGATCGCGTCAGCTGTCAGCCTTTCTCGCTCATGATCGTGGGGCAAGGAGCCTTTCGATACCACCTCACGATTCCCTTTTGTTCGATTTTTTAAAGAGCACAACCTACGTAAACATATCTACAGGTATGTGGAAGCAAGTCTTACTATTTGTGACACTGTTTAGCCAAGCTGCTGGGTTTCTTCCGGGACATTCCAGGTACGACGGAGAAGATCTGAGCGTAGCCTTGCATCAAGTATGAGTGGAACACGAGACATGATGTATGCTTTGGCCGGTCACATTTTAATGTGCCCCGAATAGCGGGTAGAGAATCTTTCTTCAAGTGTCGCCCCTTCGCCGTTGTTTTCGAGATGTGCTCATCACAGTAATTGTATCACTCCAAACCTGTGTGTGTCGCCTTGAACAGTCAGCATGCTATGTCGTTGTAAATTGCCATCACATCTTCAATTCTAGCTAATCATGGCATTCAAGATGCTAAGTTACTTGAGTCTTTGAAGGCTTTAACTCCTCTGGCTGGACCCACTCCCTCATAATCTCGCAGGATCTCGGTCACGCGAAGCAGCATTAGGAGCCGATATGCGCGAAAGGCTTTGGCAATGGAATTTGTCGATGTTATGCTCCAAAAACCTATGGGGATTGTATTGGAAGAAAATGATCCGAAGCTGCAAGGCGTGTATGTGAAAAGTTTGAGCCAAGGAGGAGCAGCGGCGGCAAGCGGTAAGATCCAGGCAGGGGACCACCTTGTGTCCGTGCAAGGCGAAATGGTGACCGGCAAGGACTTGGACGCCGTGCTTTCCACAGTGGGGAATGCCCCATCTGAGAGTGTGCAAATGAGATTCTACCGGGGTGCTCTTGGTGACCTCATCAATCCGCAAGTTTGGTTCGACATCGACATCGGGGGCGAGCGAGCAGGACGAATCACGTGCAGGCTGCGCAAGGATGTAGTACCCAAGACGGCTGGTACGTCTTCCATGAAAATTAATAGCTCGTTGGCCCCCTCTATCAAAATGCCTTTGCGACTCGCATATTCCATGTCATAGCGTATCCAACAACGTAAGTCACAAATTCTCTAATGGGGCGTTCTTCTTCATTCCATCCTTTCAGAGAATTTTAGAGCTCTGTGTACGGGTGAGAAGGGTTTTGGATACAAGAACTCCGCATTCCATCGTGTGATTCCAGGATTCATGTGCCAAGGTGGTGACTTCACGAGCGGGGACGGGCGGGGTGGAAAATCCATTTACGGTGCGAAATTCGACGACGAAAATTTTGAGCTCACGCATGACGGCCCCGGCATCCTCTCGATGGCCAACGCGGGACCCAATACAAATGGCTCGCAATTTTTCCTCTGCACTGTTGAGACCCCCTGGCTCGATGGTAAGCACGTGGTGTTCGGACAGGTCACTGAGGGGCTGGACATCCTGAAGAAGATCGAGGCGGTAGGCAGCCAAGTGGGCAAGACCTCCGTGCCCGTCATGATCGCCGACTGCGGCCAGCTTTCTTAAGCGTACAGGCCTTCTCGGGGGATTGTGGAAGGATTATGGAAGCGCGCGCAACGGCATTGTATCTCCTTTCCATGAGAGGAAGAGCCTCTTTTCAGAGCGTTGTGAGAAACAAAAAAATATCTATCTTTTCTAGAAAAAAATCCGTTTCCTTTTTTTTGGATGTAATCGATTTCCGCCAGAGAAATAAAAATTTGCGTACAAAAATGATCAATAATTATAAAGATTACATCTTCCATTTTCTTCTTCACATTGCTTTGTCAGCCGAGACCCCGTTGTCGCTTATTTTCCACTTTTTCTTCTCCCTCTCATTTTCTTTCTTTGACCTGGGTCCCGCACATTCGCTTGCGGGCCGTCATGACTTTCCACTGTAAGTCTTGACGGTGCATATTCTTTGCCCTCTTTCACTTCTACTCCCTCCTGCCTCTTCCTCTTTTTTCTCCGATTCTTGTCTATATTCGTTGAATCGCTTCCTATACCCAACGCTCCCTCTGTGGTGCATCCAACTGCTGATCCGGCCAAGGCTGACCAAACAGAGGATCGAGATGAGCTAATTTCCTCAGTAAATTTGGAGACACCATCCTTGCGCTTGACGCCGAGAATAGCTTGCATGTCTTTTGTACCATACTTTTTAATATTTTTGCTTTGCAAAAGCTTGGGATGCCGCAACAGCATCGAGGCCGTGCCACCTTGATTGGGACAACCGGAAGCTTCTCTCCTCGGGCTTCTTTTTTTTTTTCTTTTGAGCGGTACTTCTTGACGCTTGTAGGTTTCGTTAAGCTTGGAGAGAACGCTGTCAAATGTTGCCGATGCCTCTGTCCAACCCGCATTTCCCGTCTCATCTCGAACGCTGCCTAGGCCAGCACTATCTACCTTCTTAGCCACGGTCACATGCGTTGCGCAGCCTTGCAGCTCCTTGCCCAGGCCTTGACCGTCACTCCATCCCATCTTCATCATCATTTTGAACCCGAAGTTCTTTTTTTTACCTGCATAAGTTGAGCGATGTGCAAAAGCGAAGCGTCATAAAGCACAATCTAGATACGCCGTCACCAGTCTGAAGCGCTGAAACTCTTCGACCTCCATCCAAGACTGCTTACCATCAACCCAATGCTGATTTAGAGTATCTTGCATTGGCCCGACCAGAGACTTCAAATGTACTGCCGCGGTGTTCTCGGTTCTTTTTGCCATTTTCAGCGCCGCACAGTTTCACGAGCTCTCGACGAGACGGAAGCCAACGAAAGCAAACTCAGGTTAGATGTGGTGAGGGCGACCGAGACGCTCTCTTCTTTGATGACCGGGGGAAAGGAGGGGGCATCTACATGAGATAAAATGAAATGTCCTGCCACGAACGCTTTTGATACGCATGTGCGTATGTCAATTTTTTATCGTGAGGTGCAACGTTACGATGGCGAGTGATCGGAAAATTGAGAAGCCATGCGTGACCCACGGAGAACGAGTGCGTGATGGCCATGATGTGATGCAAGAAGCATGAAGTGTGGCACCTACACACCTAAATATTTCCTGCTACAGGTCAGCCATCGTCCCGTGTTCAGAATTCCGAGTCACATGTGTTACATGACGATTAGTTTGAGATTATAGTCAAGCACTGGAGCCTAAAGCGTGCCCTATGCGCTGATTTCTCCGCACATATCCACGAAAAATGCACACCAGTCACCAAAATATGTACAATGGACATATTGCACGTTATGAGATGCCACTGATAGATGGATGGCTGCTCTTACGACCATCAGGCAAGAGAACTCCGAAAATCCTGGGTATGCGGCCATATTAACCATCAGCAATCATATACAGGACCTTTTATAGGGGCCTGGCGCTATTACAAGGGAGTGTTGGCTCATCTGCACACATGGCGTCGCTCGAGTGAGTACGATCCTATCTTTTATCTACGCGCTGTTATCAGGTGGCAGGGCAGGCCTCGCTCTGCCTCAGATCGCCAAATGAAAGACTGAGTTAAAGGACTTCATGGGCGAGAGCTTGCGTTCAGCTGAATTCTACCGCAGCATTTTCTTGCTTTCATTTGCCAGAGTTTACATAATTGAATGACAATAATACCCAATTACGAAGCTGTGTTCTGTTGGAAGAATGTTGAAGGCTTGTAAATTTCTACAGGGATTGTGTAAATTTTTGGTAGTCTTGTCGATTTTGAAGCTCTTTTTTCAATCATCTCTTTGATTCGCTCAAAACCTTTCATGAGACCTGAGTTGTATGATTGCTCTATTCTCACTGATAGAAAGCCTAAGAAGTGACGTTAACGGCTTCAATGATGTTTTGTACGAATGCGCCTTCCACTCGCTAACCTCCTGCCGTTCCAGACGCTGATGCTACCTATTCTTCTGAACAGCAATGTCAAGGTACGATGTACTTCCATATAGACGAGATTATAACAAACCAAGCAATGCTGCGATACTCTACAGTCATGGGTAAAGTTTTAAAAAAAAAGTACTTACTTTTTTCATCGAGAAGGCATTCCTACCGCTCGTGAGGGACATAAATGTATGAGTGAAGGAAATCTACATCGTTCGAACAACATTAATTTGACGCTATGGTTGTTTACGAGGCAGGTTCACATGATCACATCTGTGATCATGCGCTAATTGGAAAGTGCTGATGGCCAAGGGGGGGAATTGAGGAGAATGACTTCCTCGATTCTCACCGCAAGCCGACATGCGGCCCCGACTTTCCATCCATAAGAGGAAAGAAATCATGTCATGGTGCAGCCTTTTCTCTCTAATTAAAATTTTGAATTTCAATACTTTCCTTTGTTTCTCGCGGATGCGTCGGTCAATGGTTTGAAACACCCGATACACCCATTATCAAAGCGATCAGAGCCATGCGTGCATACATGCCATTTTCCATTTGCCTGAAATAAGCGGCTCGTGGATCTTGGTCGACTCGGTCGTCAATCTCTCCAACGCGTGGGAGAGGGTGCATCAAGACTAGCGAGCTCTTACATAGTTGCATGGTTTGAGGCGTTACACGAAAGATGTCCTTCACTTTCTCGTAGTCCGCAGCCCTCGGGAATCGTTCTTTCTGTACCCTGGTCATGTAGAGCACATCCATGGTCGCGAGCACGTCTTCATCCAGCGTAAAGTACTCATGCTGTTGAATCCCACGGCTATCTACATATTTCTTCACTTCTTCCGGCATCGCCAAGGATTGGGGGCTCACATAGATCAGCCGGATGCCACTAAACAAACACAACAAGCGCGCAAAAGAATGCGCAGTGCGTCCATGTTTTAAATCTCCTACAAAGGCAACTGTCTTATTTCTTATCTCTCCGACCTCCAGCTTCACTGTGAGGAGGTCCAGCAGTGATTGCGTGGGATGTTCTCCTGTTCCATCGCCCGCGTTCAGAAGAGGTTTTGGGCAGGTCATTGCAGCCTCGCGCACGCTTCCCTGGACAGGATGCCGCAAGACCACAACGTCGCAATAGCATGCCATGGATCTCACGGTATCACTTAGAGTCTCTCCTTTTTGCGCGCTGGAGCTGGACTCATTCACGTGTATGCAACTTCCCCCAAGCCGTTGAAATGCCGCTTGGAAAGATGACGTCGTCCGTGTTGAGGGTTCGAAGAATATACTTCCTAAAACGCGTCCTTGCAACCGTAGATCGCCGCCATGAACTTTCACAAGCTCTTTCATAGCCTCCGCCTCACGTAGAAGTAGCTCCAATGCCGGTAAAGTAATCTGTGTAGCTGACAAGAAGTGCTGCCCAACCCAGGATTGTGGATCGCTACTGAACACAGTACAGTCGTCTCGAGTCATGGTCGAGGATGAGACGCTTTCTTTCAAGTATTGAGCACGGATGAATTAAAAGAAAAACGAGAACGTGAGGGATAAGATCATAAACTTTATGGCTCGCCTCGCCATATCACGCATCCGGGACTGCTCTTCGGATTAATCTCTCCGTGTCTGAGTTTTAAATGTAGATAGAAATGCTTTGGCGTACAGAGATGGAGGACGGACAACATGCGAACAAGCATGTGCCCGGTGTGTCTGACAGTGCAAGTGACCGGCCTGAGCATGTAGAGACGGTGATCTTGACGCCCCCGGGGAAATGGAAGGAGGTTATATGCTCGAGGCTGCCATAGCCTTTTAAGAAATCTTATGCTCTCACTATCAATTGGTTGCCATCAGGTCAACACCTACATTTACAGGCTACTTTTCATTTTTTGAGGCTCCACGTACGTAATTATCTCCTTCTTTTGCTGTCTGCTTCTATCAATCCTAATTGGAGCCGTGGTAAGTGCCTCATGTCGTGGGACTGTCATCGCGGTAAGCTAATTTATAGAATCAGGAGGGAAAAGCGGCGAGCTGCGATACTGCTGGCCACTTTGTACATGAATGACTGAATGACAAATCCTGCAACACGCAGGTTTAAATGCTTCGTCGGCTTCTACGTCCCTTTGTAAAGCAGATCCATCCAGACTTCCATCAGAATGTAAGCCCGGAGGGGTGTTTGGAATGTCATCTATGTCGTTTGATGGTGCGGGTGTACATGATGATGATGAAGATGATGATGAAGAAGAAAAAGATGATGATGATGATGATGATGGTTGTGGTGGCGAGCTTCGATGGCTTGCTATCAACAGAATCGTTAGGGTGACTTGTCAAATGAAAGGTGGGGGTTTGCAAGAATGTCTCTCGCTTGTTTGGAAGGAGGATATGGGCGCTCATCGGTGCCAATTATTGGATCACCAGTACTCCCCTTGGGCTCCTGGGTTTTGTTAAACAAAGATCGCTTCGGCTAAAAGTTCGCAGGTGGCGAGTGGAAGAAGAGCAGTGCTATGAAAACAACTGAGTATTTTTTTCGTGGTAACATCTTGTCTCCTTTACGGTATGGGAAGACTCACGTCTACCCTTATATACAAGATAAGGAGACTTACGTGCACCTGCTTTCAATGTTGTTTACGTATAGGCCCCGACAGCTGCGAAACGTACGAATGAGCAGTCACTGCAGCAGCTAAATCGAATCTTAGACGCCTTGGAAGCTGTGGGGAGAGGACAGCTCAGTACGCAGAGTAGGCATGCTGTAAGCAACGCTTTTCAGTCACACTATCTTGAAGAATGTTACGAGCTGACATTTCACGTTGTAAGGCCAAACAGTACAATCGGAAAACTGAAAGACAACACTTCTACTTCTTCGCCACTGCAAAGCTTCACCGCGCGCCTTCTTTTTCCATCAAGTACTATTTCGCATTTCGCTAAAACAGCTCTGCCGAACGCATCCTCATCTACGAAAACACACGACAAAGTGACATACTTCTTACCGGAAGAGATACGTCAGCAGTTACGGAAGCTTCTCTACGGCGCTGGATTGACCATCCCGAATGAATTAAAATCGATTACTGCTAAAGCGCAAGGCTATGATGAATTAAGGCCTCATGGGTTGATAAGTGCAGCAGCCGCCAAAATGATGGTGCTTGCCGATCTGATGACACAAGATCTTCATCATGAAGGCTCAACCACATTTGATTCTAGCGCTGCTGTCGCTCACATGCTACGGAGTGGAAGGATTTTGACGAAGGGTTTGGTCCCGGCAGAAGAAGTGCTTGCCATCCAGGTTCTTGAGAAAGTTCTGCACAGTATTTTGGAAGAGGTCCAGCTCGAAGAGATTCTGACAAGCATTCAAATTGTGCTCGACAGGGAATCTGATAAGCTCTGGTGGGAGATACTTTCAAGCAAAGTTTCGGGTAAATGTGAATATATTTTTGTTTGTCCCGCAGATTCGAGAAGGGTACGACACAGTCTAGCATTTATTCTTCGTTTAATCAGCCACCGAAATGCTACGGAGGCCTGAAAACTTCTCAGAATAGGTATTGGTACCCGTATTTGAGAGTTTTTTCAAAATTCTATGGTTTTCGTGAATCTTGCAAGTGTAGAGTATATGCACTGTACACACCATGAACATAAAGGATAAATAGGACGTTTGTTGTTTAGAAAGGATGTAAAGTATAATTACGTGTATAACAAATATTCCAAGACATGCAATCTAAGTACTCTTCGGCATGGATTCATCGAACTTATTTTTATTACACTTCAACGACTCGTGCGCTTCGTATATCGTTGACATGCCCTTGCCATGTGGTGTAAAGGTCATTCGAAGGCCAAACTTTATGTCGGTGATAGTACGCAAGCTAGTGACGAAAGCTCGAGCCATTTTGCAAGATGTATGACAATGATTTGAATAGCTCCAGGGTCTGTCCTGATTATCAATATCTGCAATAATAAATATTCTTAATCAGCTAGAAAAGTGATGCTTTTTACTTTCCAGTGATCTTTTTAAGTTTCTGTCCATCAAATCATACAATTAAAATATCATCAAGTCTAGGAGACAGATTACTCTTGTTCACATGTACTAAAGGGCACCTTTATTTTATCCTTCACGGCATAAGACTTAAGCTGGATAGGTTATTTGAGATGTAATGCTCCATCAGACTTTTCGCAATTAAAAACATTGATAACTCCATGGAAACGCATCGTTTCAGCCGGGGAGATATTATAGGTGAATGCCAGAAAAGTCTTTTTAAATGGATGAAGACGATATATTAATCGTCTACAGAAAAGATTTCTCGTCGAGTTCATAAAGCCGAGATAAATAGAAAATATAAAGCAAGGTGTGTGAAACTTTTGGTGCGCGCTTGATCTCCTCGATGTCTTGCAGAAAGGTCGAAAAGGGGTAGGTGTTTGCCACCCGGAGAGGCAGGGCCTACTCTGTATATGTTTGGCTGCCATTTTGGGGCGCTTATAGCTCGGCACAGCTCACGCAGTTTAAATGGACCTTATCATGAGTGCCCTTTCTCATATCAAATTAATGTTTCTCACAACACCAATGACTTTCATTTGTGGTGCCAAATGTTATGAAGTCTCCAATCGGTGTCATCGAAAGAGTTGAATCTTCTGTATAGCATTCTCCCACAATCTTCACAGCTTTGATGTGGTGGAACGCTTCACAAGCATTGAAACTTTTCTGCTCTTTCAAATTTGCGCCATCATCCCTAGGACTGACTTTCTAGTATCAGTTCCTCTCAACTAAGTTTAAACGATGGCCCGTTCTTAACTTTAACTGTATAAGACAGCAATACGTCTCTTCTACCTTCGTTTTAGTTTTTCTCACATTCGTATATTTACGATGTTACTCCACTGCAACCATTACACGTACGCATTGAAGATTTGTTCCCGATTTTTGAATACGTCCTGAATTTTATTAGACGTAATGCGACTTATCCGTCAATTTAATTGTCTACACCGCCAGCATTCGAGGCTCTGGTGGACATATCTGCCATACCAATCTTTTTCTGTTCACCTTTCAAATGCATTTGCTTTCGCAATATCATTTTAAAATCACCTATGTCCCCTTCATATCTGGAAATTGTTTTGTTGTCGCACATCCAGATTTCCTTCGCGACCTGAGATATTAGGCGCATATCGTGCGAAACTAAGACAACTCCACCTGCAAAATGGTTGATAGCATCTGCCAAAGAGTCGATGGACTCCATATCCAAATGATTGGTGGGTTCATCTAAAAGCAACAAATGTGGTGCGTCTTTAGCCATCTTTGCGAAGACGACACGCGTCCGCTGCCCATCCGACAAATTTGCCATGACCTGAGTCTGGACCTCACCCGAGACTCCGTATCGGCCGAGAAATTTCCGAAGTTCCTCCCTACTCGCTTCCTTGTACGTGTCGCACATGAAGTCAAGGGGAGTTTTGGTCAGATCAAGCACGTCAACAAAGTGCTGAGTGAAGGTCGAAATTCGCAGATGCGAGTGTGGACGCACGTCCCCGACGGTTGGTACAAGCAGGCCGCACATAAGCTTCAGCAAAGTCGATTTGCCAGCACCATTGGGTCCTACAAGAGCTACCCGAGAGTCCAGGTCGACTCCATAGTCTACATTCCGATAAAGCACCTCGCAACCAGGGTAACCAAACGTGATGTTCACCAGCTGCAGCACAGGGGGAGGAAGCGAGCCCGGATCAGGAAAGCGAAAGTTGAAGCTCGCTTCTCTCACTACTTTGTCCGTGAGGCCACCTCGTACCATTTTAGCTAGTGTCTTCTCCTTGCTCTGAGCCTGACGTGCAAGCTTGGCGCTGCCGTGGCCAAACTTGGCAATGTACTCCTTCATCTGTTTAATTTGGTCTTGTTCCCAGTGGTAACGCTTCATCTGCTCTTCTTCCAATTCAGCGCGCGTCTGAACAAAGGAATCATAATTCCCGGTGTAGTACTTCAGTTTTTTGTCCGACAGGTGGACAATATGAGTGCAAACATTGTTCAAAAAGTCCTGCGAGTGCGAGACCAAGAACAAAATCTTCTTCCAGGCTGAAAGGTAGTCCTCGAGCCACACAACCGCCTCCATGTCCAAATGATTGGTTGGTTCATCTAAGAGCAATAGTTCGGGCGACAAGAAGAGTGCCCGGGCCAAGGCGATGCGCATACGCCAACCACCGGAGAATTCACGCGTCTTCTTCTTCATAGTGGCCTTCGTAAAACCCAGACCTGAGAGAATGGAGCAAGCGCGGACCTCTGCCGTGGAGGCATCCATCTCTTCCAAGCGTTCGTAGACCTGTTGCAACCGGTCCACGATGTCATCATAGTCATCTCGAGCCTCCGCACCGTCCTCCGTCATGATGTTGTTCAGCAGGTCTGCTTCCCTCTCCAGCTTGGCGCGTTCCTCATCGACAGACATCACAGCCTCGAGGGCCGTTAGGTCACTCGCCTCTATCTCGTGTGTAAGATGAAACATGTCGATGCCATCTGGGATAGGTACGGCGCGTGCCCCGAGTACCCGCATGATGGTAGATTTGCCTGAACCATTCATGCCCAAAAAGCCATAGCGGTTTCCATGGTTCAGCACTATCTCACTGTCATCCAAGAGAATTTTGCCCATGAATTGGACCGTCACATTTTGTACGTTGATGTCTTTCGTGTTGCGGTGCATTTCCTTGCTTGTGCTTGAGTACGTCGCGATGATCCCGTCAGCCGACAGCTTTTCCACTGCCGAGGGCCCGTCATCCATCCGCAGGTTCTCGAGGCTCAACGTCGAGGCAGACGCCTCCGAGGTCGCTTCTGTCTTGGTATCTTCCTCCATTTTTTTTTTAGTAGCGGCTGCAGCAGCCGCAGTCCCCTTCTTTGGTGGCCGGCGAGACTTGAGACCCATTTTCGAACGGTGACGTTATTTAAGGCGGACCTGTATGGTTAAAAAGAAGTCACACAAAGGAATATAAGACGCGAAGACATGCTTATTTGCCATTGGCTCCATTGTGCTGTGCATCACACTGCGTGCCTAAGAAGATGGTCGTCGCGGGGCGAATGCTGCGCATCAATTGGAAGATCGGTGGGGAATACTCCATGAGAAGAGTACGACACTAAACGGGAAGACAGAGACAACATGATAGGCAGAGAAAGATCTCTGCCTGGGGCCGTGGTGAGAGGCAACGTGGCACAATTTGTCTCATGCATCATGAGCGGTTCATAGGGCACGACGTGAAAGAGGCATGGGTACATGAAACAGTGCTCGGAAGAGAAGCCAGCGAGTCCATCCGCGCCAATGCCACAAAACGTGCTCTCAAACACTGATGGACGTCAAAAGAGCGCGTGTGATGCTTTTCAATGTGTCGCCCGACATATTGTGCTGCACGCCCGTTGCTCAATACCCTCTACGAGAAAGGGGCCGACGCCTGCCTTTTCCGTGCAGGATGCGTCACTCTTTTTCCAGCCACATGCCTGGGTGGCGCTAGTGTTCGCTGTGGCCGGGGCGAGGATAGAACAAAGCCTCCCGTTCCGTCATCCTCCCGCCCTGCCCCCTGCTGCACTTGCAAGACTTGCACCAAATCACGCTCTTATACTCGCTCCCTTGTGCCAGGTGACGTTAAAGTAGTGGCATGCTTCTGCACATCGGGAAGGTTGGAAGAAAAGTGGCTGTCTATTTCCTGTTGGCCTTCGCCTTCGCAGGCGAACTTACTCAAGCCTTCCTGCCCGTCCTGCGAGCTTCTTCGCCATTGTTGCCACATTCATTGTCCGTTGTGCGTCATGTTCCTGGTAAGCGCATTGGAAGTAGATGTACGGTAAAGTGCATTTCCGCTCACAAGGCAACTTGGCTCATCGTTTCGGCGTTTGAGGAAATGCGGATTTGACAGCGGACTGAAGGAGCTTGCAGAAATTTTCATGAACGGATCTATTTTGAACAAATATGTTTTTGCCGCTGTTAGCAATCTTGCCATTCCATGCTCTTTAATATATATAGAGAGAGGGAGCGCAGGAATTTTGGGAAACGACATGTCGATTCGGAATGCTCATTTAAAAAAAACACACGTTCCGACTTTTCTGTGTTAGATCTAGGCCTGACAAAAGACAGCTCTTCCTCGTCGAAGTCTTCCTGTCGGCCTGTCTCTTTATCTTCAGTGAATTCCGCATCCCCTTCTGGTGGGTCGAATGAGGTGGCCGAGGACGGGGTCTCTCTCAAGGACCTGCAGGACCTGGGAGCCGATGCCGCATTTTTGGAAACGCAGGTAGTGGAATGGCTTGACAACGAATGGATACCGCAGGATTGTCATCAGGAGGTTGCAAAAGTTGCTGCCAAGGCCTATGTGAAGGCCCGTGATGAGGGCATCGCCGACCTTGGCGGAGTCCTACTGCACGTGGGCACCGAGCTGGAGGACATGGACATGGGGGACGCATTTGTGGACGCCTGGATGGTGGCCAATAAAGTCTCAGACCTTCTACTTATGCGCATGGGCCGCGAAGTCTGCTGTCCGGAGCCGGAGTTTACGGACGAGCAGCGTGTGCTCATGACGGAGGGTCGCGGAGAGCGGGAGATCATGGCGTCCGGCCTCCTGGGACGCGGTGCTCCTGGCAGCAAAGCTACCCTTGGCGGCGGGAGTGGTGGCAGCTCCTTGCTCAAGGACAAAGATGTACCACAATTACTGAATCCTCAAGCCCCCCCTGCATTTTTTACGTTGGACGCGGTCCTACGTTCAGCCGAGCTATACGTCGACGAGTTCGCGCGCTTCGATTTTATCCGTAAATTTCTGGATGGCCACGATGAAGCGTGGGCTGAAGCCAACATCATCATGGCAATAATACTTGGCTACAAATTTGATGAATGGGGCAACATCAACCTTGAAGACGTGCATGAACGCTTTCGAGAGCTTGCTTTCCCACCTGACTTTCGGGGAAACGAGGAAATGCGAGCCATGTTAGACGCTATCCTTCGGGAGGATGAAGATGAAGATAAAATGAAGGGGCTGGAGGAATTTCTCGAAGTTATGGTAGGTAAAGCTTACTACCATCAATCGGACAAAGGTGATAACGAAGATTTTGCCTGTCGCGCGACACTTATAAAGTGGATCTACGAATATGATTTTGTGAATGACTGGCCTAGACTCCCCACCGTCCAGGCATTGCTTGAGGTGAAAGCCCGCATTGATGCCAAGCAGGAGGAGAACAAGCCACCTCAACGTTTCCTGTATTGAGCGAACACTGGTGGTGAGGAGGTTAAACTTTCCGGGGGGGCAGTGCATTGTACAGCTTTATGTAGGCGCGCGGTCCAAAGTTGAGCAATAACAAGGCGCCGTTGCATAAATTTGTGCTCTGCCTTTTTGCGAAAGAATTAATTTAATCTATGAGGAGCTTTCGTAATTCTGTCCTTTCCGATCCTTCGGAAGCTAGCAACCGAGAAAGACTGGAGAGGATGTGGTTATTAACCTGTGTACCCGGGTTCATTTCACCTTCGATTCACAAACATAAATGTCTCAGGTAGATGGACAAGGATCTCAGGTTAGAGCCTTATGCGGGCGAGGGACGATGGTCGGGCATCAAGCGCACGCGGGTTGGGTACGAGGCCAAATTCCATCAAGACTCGAAGTACAGAGGTTACAGGCCGGACTTTGCAGCACTAGCTCGCCTGTATCCCGACACCTTTGGACACCTGTACGTGCTTACAAAAGAGCTCATTTCACGCATGAAATTACAATTTCTCCGCAATCTTCTTTCAAATGCATATTGATCACTCGTTCCTTAATGTTTCGGCCCTTCACGCAACAGAGTCATTTACCTGAATGACGACAAAAGTGAAGCGCTTATTGACTGGAAAGATCCAATTTCAACGAGAGCTTTAACAAAAACACTTCTTCGCCATGATTTTGGTCTCGAGTGGGATATTCCGCTTGAGCGACTATGTCCACCGGTTCCAAACCGTCTGAATTACGTCTGCTGGGTGAAGGATCTCCTCTCCTTGGGTGGCTCCGATACATCTCAATCAAGAACTGGTATTCGAGGTTTAGATGTGGGTACTGGTGCCTCCGCAATATACCCGCTGCTTGGGTGCAAGCTTCATGATTGGTCGTTTCTGGGAACGGATATTGACCCGGAGGCTTTAGAAGCAGCCTCGGCAAATGTTCGCGAAAACCATATGGAAGATCGCATCTCCCTACAGCTTGTATCGCGCGTGGATTACAGCGAGCTATCTTCATTCTCTTTCACAGCTCTCCAAACAGGAGCTGGGAGTGTCCGCGGACCCATCCAAACTGCCCTAGACGCCGCTGGAATGGGATCCGAATACGAGCTGGACTTCGTCATGTGTAATCCGCCTTTTTTTGCATCTTTGGATGAAATTCATTCGGGTTTTTCGCTTAAAAGTGGGAGGAAAACAAGCAAGAGAATTTCCACAGATCCGCATGGCTGCGCGGACGAGATGATCACCCCTGGTGGGGAACTTGCCTTTGTGACGGCAATGATACTTGATAGTCTGGCACTTCGGGATAGAGTACGCTGGTATAGTAGTATGGTAGGTAAAAAGCTATCTTTGAAAAAGCTATTGGGTTTGCTCAGAGAAGCAGGAGTGCAAAATGTCCGCACCACGCAGTTTGCTCAGGGTCGCACCACTCGTTGGGGCATCGCTTGGAGCTTCTCTCAGGCAGGACTGGCGGAAGTGAAAGGGGCTGGGGCTAGCGCTCACAAAGTGTTCGGGAAAAGAAAGATGGTCAAGAAGCGGGAGACTTCTTTCTCATTCTCTGTGCGCTTTAATCCTCCGTTACAAACCGCGGACGTGGAAGAAGGGTCGTCAGAGGAGGCAGTAGTGCTGGACCGGGTGCTCGAATACTTCAGTATTACCCGCAACTTATGCGTGCTGCGCGTTGGCATCACTTGTGGCGCGGCCGAAGACTTATTCCGTAAAATGATTGTGGTTGAATTGAGTTCACATGGCACGCCGACGAAAGCCCCCCCTCGTTGTTGTCTCGGCCTTCGCTGCGCCTCCTGTCCCTCCTTCGGATCCAGGCTGGAAGATGCGCTGCGTGGTTCTGATCACCGTCTTAGCTGGGGCTAGTCATGAAGACTCAAATGATGAAGCATTGACGACCGCGGACCTAGGGCGTGAGCCGCAGCCGCTCGTGTCTGAGGAAATGAACGTTGACGACATAGAGAATGGCGAGAGGGGGAGAGAAGGGGAGTGCAGTGTGGAAGTGAACATTGAGATGACCTCGGGTGGTGACCGCCCAGCGTTTTGGAAGCTCTGTAATTTGCTTCCGGGGGAAGTTTCACGGACTAATCGGAAATGGCGGCGCAAGACTATCTTTCAAGAAAAAAAGAATGAAGCCGCGTCGAATCCACAAATTGGTGATGCCAAAAAACTGGGTAGGAATTAAGAAGACTTCAACATTTGGGGAATTCAAACGATCATACATTGAGAAAGCAAGAAAAGTATCGGACGAGGAAAGTAGAACGCCCTTCTCCGCGATTAAATGATGAACATCCGTTGGGACGTGTTCTGTTTCCAAATGTACATTTATTCCTTCGTCGTGATGACGTATGCTTTATCCGTGAAAAATGCCGTTCGATCAATAGTCATTTTCACCATCGCTCAAGTTGCATTTCCTGAGTCCCTCGTCCATTAAGGGGGAAGGGGCGAAATCGAATTCTTCAGGTCGCAGATCTCCAGACCGCCTACCCGTGGGTCGCACCGCGTATATCGCCAAGACGGTACGCCCATAGCGGCGATTCCGCAGGCCTAGAAGGCGTCCTTTACCTATATTGAACGGTAAACTGCCCAATTCCACAGGATACTCGATCACAATCAGAGAGTCCTCGGCCACAGCAGGGCTCTCCATCACGTCTCGGATCAAATCTGCATATACTACCTCCTCATATGGTGGTGTAATCGAAATCAAGTCAAATGTACCAATGACACCCAGTCGTTTTGGCTGCCGTAAGACTTCTTCAGCCCTGGCCCGCACGATTTTTCCCTTAACCGCATCAAAGTTGCACAGTTTCAAGTTTCGCTCAACGCATTCGCAGCACTCGGATGCCATGTCGACGAACACCGCTTCTCCCGCTCCTCGAGACAAGGCTTCTAAACCGACCGAACCTGCTCCGCAAAATAAATCCATCACTCGAGGAGGCCTGCTACCGAAGAGATCGAAGGAAAATAATGTCGAGAATAGGGCCTCCCTGACTTTGCTCATCATAGGGCGCAGATGGACCTCGGGGGAGTCAAGTCTTTTGCCTCGCGCCGACCCTCCTATGATACGGAGACGTGATGGACCACCCGCCGTTCCAACTGTGTCCAAATCCCATGCTTTCCCTTGTTCTTTTCTGCTGCGAGAAGGTTGAGAGCCCCCCAACTCATGTATTTTGCGGGCGTCGCCGGCTCCTCTTATTTGGCGTGGGGCGTGAATAGGTTGCACTGGCAAGCCATCAGGCCCCAGCTCTACTCGGCGTCGCTTTTTTTGCCACCGTTTGTCTACTTTGCGAGAGTTATGGCCGTTTTCCTCGTGCGACGATAAGGACATAGTTTGGACAGTCAACGATTGAACACACCCTTTTGAGACGAGGAAAGACTGAACCATCTCTGGCGACCCCTCAAGAGATAATACCAGCGTAATCAATGCTAATTTAAGAAATGAATTTCCCTGTAAACAGGACATTCCTGTGCTTGGAATTGAGAAGTCCAGGATGAGAGGCATTACCGGCTTACTCAAAGCCATACTGCAAAGCGTTAAAATGCCACACCTCTAAAGCTTGAAGCGCGCGCACGACAATCTCTCGCGTGTGATCGCCCACACTGATCAATTAGCGCTCTGTAATGGTTCGTCTTCAGCCCTCGTGATCCCCCGGGTCCGCAGAAAGCGCTGACCAGTCTCGCTGGAAGAGGCCCCTCTCCATCGCCCGGACCGTCCCCGGAGGCTCACAAGGATACTCTTCTCTCTGCCCAGTAGGGCCCCCACGGGGTCGCGCTGCCCGTCGCGCCAAGCTAGCTGCGGCCATGCCGTCATCTATACCGAATACATGTGTCTCCAACATTCGTTGAATGGGAAGGTGGTAAAACGCTTTCTTACTTTGGGCTTGTACCTAGGACTTGAAACTTTTCCCAAGAAGGATGGTACGTTGCGTTCGTCCGGCCCATCTTCTCAGATAGGGCAAGGAAATGCGTGATATCCCAGAACGTGGACGCTAACGGACTGATTTCAGCAGCGTTATGAAGCACTTTGTTTTGAACTATTTGGCCTTTGTCTTAAAAACAGAAATCATGAGAAGCCCTGCAACCCCTGATCACCAAGACGAGTCGCACAATTTTCGGACCGGAAAAAAGGAGGGATTGGTGAGAAACGTGACAAGCCCTACTGTACGTCTTCGCTGCCCGTCTCCTCGAAGGAAAAAAATATCGAACAAGCTACTATTTAAGTGGAGTAATCGAGCACGGTGCAGCGAGGCCGCCACAGCGTTTGAGACTATGGCCACTCCCATTAAAAGTCCAACACAAAAAAATATGAGCCCCGATTCTGAAGTGGAGAGTCACAACTTTGAACCACATCACAGTGAGGTATGGAGAATACATGAGCGGAAACGGAGGCAGGTTGAATTTATCGACCCGCAGAGCGGCCGACAACGTGCCTTCATTCGATGGATGCTTACCGCCCTTTTGGCAATTTTAAGCGAGATTTTGTGCGTCGTAATCATTGCATGCACCGTCGAGTTGCAGGCTCTAAAATTTGACACAACGCTCAAAATCGCATCTCATCGCAAGTGGTATACCAGCGTGGCAGCTTTCTTTCTTTTTCTTACATTTTCTCTGCTATTTGCGGTGGTTGCTGGGGTCGTGACGCTTTTGCAGCCAGCTGTAGGAGGTTCAGGGATGGCAGAGGTAAAGAGTTACTTAAATGGCGTGAATCTTCCTCACGTAATGCACTTCAACACTTTATATGGCAAGGCTGTTGGGGTAATATTTGCGCAAGCTTCAGGATTGCCTTTGGGATTCGAAGGTCCCATTGTCTCTTGTTGCGCGATTTTAGGTTCTTTGTTTTCGCAAGGCAAAATTTGGGGCCTTGAGCGTCGACTTTCTTTTGAAGATTTCCGTAACGATAAGGAACGAAGAGATTTTGTCGCTTGCGCAACAGCGGGGGGTGTTGCTGCGGCGTTTGGAGCACCGATTGGAGGTGTATTTTTCGCATTGGAAGAAGGCGCATCCTTCATGACACTGAAATTGACATGGCGATGCTTCTTCTGTGCAATAGGAACTGCGCTAACTGGATATCTTCTACTTAGCGTCTTGCCTCCAGAATTTGTGAATCAGCTATCGTTTCTGGATCCGTTTCCTAATTCAGGCCCATTATACGAGCAAAAAGATTTGTCGATTTTTGCGGTCATGGGAGTACTAGGAGGACTCCTAGGGGCTGCTTTCAATCAAATGAATCGGCGCCTGACTGTCTTTCGCTTGGCTCATGTTACCACACCTCGTAAGAAAATGCTGGAGCTCATGAGCCTGACGACTTTGATGGCTGTTCTGTCTTTCGGCCTCCCGTTTGCCGGCCGGTGCCGCTCGCGTCCCCAGCTCGACACAACTACTGGAATTTATAGTTACGCCAGTACCTTGCGACCATTTTTGTGTGCGGGAGATGACAGCTACAACGAACTCGCTTCCTTATATTTACAGTCGTGGGACGACTCGCTTCGAATACTTTTTCACCTACCGATGCATCTTCAAAGTGGGGAGCCGGTTTTCTCGACTGCGGCATTATTGTGTTTCTTCTGTCCATACTTTTTCATGGCATTCATGACTTTTGGAGCTTCCGTGCCCTTTGGCCTTTTCATTCCCTCTTTATTGTCAGGAGCTGCATTGGGACGCGTCGTTGGTCAAGCCCTTCATCCTTTGGGAGGTTTTGCTGAACCAGGTGTTTACGCATTGGTGATGGCTTCTGCTGTGTTAGGTGGTATGTGTCGCATGACTATTTCGCTGGCTTTGATTCTGTTAGAGGCGACAGGAAATATGAATTTGCTTCTTCCGCTCAGCATAAGCCTATTTTTGTCAAGATGGGTCGGAAATGCATTCAACGAAAGTATCTACCAAATGCATATCCACCTCCGTAAAATTCCATTTTTGGAGCCCCAATGTCCACAAGAAGCCCGTGTTAGTGATCTGCGGGTGTGTGAGATCATGGCAACAGAGCCTTTGTGCTTGCATCCTGTTGACCAAGTTGGGAGGATTTACGAGCTGCTCGCCGCAACTGCGCATCACTGCTTTCCACTTCGTGAAGATGATTGTACAGTATTTGGAACTATTTCTCGTGACATACTTTGTTCACTTCTATTTTTGAAAGCCTTCAGCGGTGAAAAATCAGAATCTGTATTGCGCGATACGAGTGCTGCCGTGGTTACACCTGTCTTGCCCTACGAAAAGGTAGAACAGTTCTTCCCCCATTTTCCAAGCATTGCTACCATATGTTTGACGGAAAGCGAAAAAATTTCATGGATCGATCTGCGACCATACTGCGACACAGCACCATACCTCGTGACTGAGTCCACCGCCGTCCCCCGCGCCTATCGTCTTTTTCGCAATTTAGGATTACGACATTTATTGGTAATAAGTCGGAATGGGCATCTATCCGGCATCCTGACGCGACACGATTTGGAAGAAGAACATCTCATGGCGAGTTTGGCTCACAGTCCGATGCTTCTGAGTCGCAAGGTGTGGAAAATCACCAAGGATGCACTGATGCGGCAAGAAGACGGTGAATTAGATTCATATCATTCGCATGAAAGCCCTTCTGTATCGCCTTCAATGCCATAAGAATCGGAAATCTAATTAAAGAAATTAGACAAGTATGTGACGATTGTATTGACTGTGATCTATCGTGAACGGCTGGTGGAAAACATGCGTCGAGTATACTATATGGCCATTCCTGTCCATTGATTACTTAAGCTACGAAATAAGGCGTCGAGCAGAACTCCTTTGCTTCATCACAATAGGTGCAGGGAGGACAACACCTGGGTAATCAATTCGACCACAGCGTTCGCCGACCTGTCTTTTCCGTCATCCCCTTCCGACTCCATTTCAGGCCTACCAATTTTGAGCGTAAGATTCAATCGTTTCGACAACTTATGTATTACGATTTGAATCAAATACAAACGCCCCAATTCATGTTGCCCGTACAGGAAAAGTTTGAATACATCAGTCACCTCCCCGCTTGCCAAGCATTTTATACCCCGCGATAAAAGTGATGTCTCTAGTGTTGATAGCCCGTCCGTAGGAAGAACTGTCAAGTCTACATTGTAAGATATACTTTCAGGAAGTTCTGCCCACAAGTGTTGAAAGGTCTCCGGCTCCATTCGAAATGAGTCAATGAGCGCTAGGGTAGATGTACAAAAATCCTGTTGCGATGCACTCGGCGTTGTTATACGATCTGTTGGTACCGCGAGAGAAACACCCATGTCGCTCATGTCGAGGAGATCAGAGGAGGGACCTGTATAGGCGGTGCTACCTTCAGGATTTGTACTGCCTGCGCGTGAGGGCGACTCGCTTTCAACGCCGCACTCTACGCCGCCCCCAGGCAACAAGCTGTCATCAGCATGCAGGTCCAAGAGATTGTTTCCATTATTACCGCTGTCACCAATTTGGACACCCATCATGAAAGGCGTCAGGCTGGTTTCTGCAGGCTTAATCCGATACGAAGGGCTGACGAATTGAGAAGAAGGTTTTCCGTATATGACAGCCAATGTATTAAACTCACCGAAAAGCTTGTCACGCAAGCTGGTCATATCTCGCTCCTCCGCGAAAGTGCCTACGATCGTTGTACGGTTGACATCCATTTCGTGCTCGCCTAGAACCACACGCTTGGCCGCCTCTACGTCTGCCACTAGGAGACGGTAATACAGTAGAGCCCGGTCGTGGACGTCCTGAGACGTCAAATCATTGGTCGCAGCTGCCAGGAGGCGACCTAGCATGCTTTGCATTTCCGGAGGACGCTTAAAAAAAAGTTTCATTGCGGCAGTCAACAAGCTCAATTTGACCAATGCCGACGAAATGGTAGCGTAGCTATCAATTAACGGCTCCAAAAGGTACGGACCCTCCGGAAAATTCTTTCCACCGTACTCGCCAGTCATCCAGATTAGCGCAGCTTGAGCTTCTGGGTGATTATCAACGCGGCGCATGCAAGGCTGGAGGCGGGGTAGCGCCTCTGCCTTCCGCTCGGGATAGCGTCGAAGAATGTCCCTCATTACCAAGATTGTCTCAGGCCGCATGCTGTTCATGTCCACGTCCAAAAAGCCTACCAAGCGCTCCAGAACCATGCCTGCCGCGCTGGGCAAGCGAAAGGCAATGTTTCCGATGGCGCGAATCGACCGTCGCGACACCTCTTGGTCCACGTCTGTTGAATACTCGGCCAGCTCTGCGACAATGTCACCGACCGTTTCTTCGTTAGCGATGATGGCCAAAATATCGATTTTTTCGTACTTCACGAAAGTAGGTTCATTATACCGTACATAGAGCTGTCTATATTCGTCATCAAAAACACCAGGGGCGCGATGCACCATCGCCTCCAAGTGCTTTAAAATGCAATATTCCACCTCCGGGTTCCCTCCGGCCATGAGCGTGAGTAAAGGCGCCTTGACTCGCAAGTACACCTGCGGTTGAAGATCAGGTACTGCTGTAGTTAGGTGCAAGAAACACTTGATCGTGCTGAGAACCACCCCGCTGTTTGAGGTCCGCAGCACGGGGTCTAGCAAGTTCATGATGGTGAAGAGCTCCTCCTCGTCAGCAGGATGGTACTTCGCCACCAGCGCCAGAATTTGCGTCAGACCCCATTCGTTGAACTCCCCAAGCCGACCGAGAAGGTGCAGAATCAGGGGCTGGTTGACCGCCATGCCGCCCTCCTCCGCAGCCAGCATCTCCCCCAGCACTATCAGGCAATTGGTGACCACGTGCGGGTCCGGGTCCTGGATCATGTTGTACAGCAGATCCACGAAGTTTGCGGAACGGGCTACGTCAGGCGCAAGATGAAAGAGCTTCAGGATACCCATCACTCCGGTCTTGCGCACGTACGGGCTTTGGTCGGTCAATGCCCGCCGCAGAGGGGCGGAGATGTATTCCAGCATGGACGGCAGTCGTAGCGAGCAGAGGGCCCGCAGAGCCAGGCCTCGAACCATGGGGTCGTCCGCAGAACAGTCTCGCTGTAATGTGTTGACACACATAAGGGCAAGATCAGGTTTTGCATGGGCGTAATTGCACAGGTAGAGGTAGACCATTTTCTTAACAACAAGATCTGGCGTTTCTATTGCCAAGACCATCTCCGTGAAGAGCCGTGAAACGTCAATTCCCAGCGTCATATAGGCAATTACTTTTTTAATCACGTCCCGTTTTCGCTTCGGGTCCTTTTCCACGGCCAGCGTTTTCAGAAGTTGCTTCAATTCACTGACTTCTCCTTTCTTGGTATCTACAAAGTAGGCGGGCGGGTTTTGTTGCTGATGTTGACCGGGCAAAGGCGAGGGGTGGCTTTGGCGGGATTGGGGAAGCGGTGCACTCATTGTCATAACTACTGTTCGTGTTCCTGGTGGAATTGTAAAAAATTAAAAAAAAAGACAGATACATGAGTGAGGGGCGGTCCAGATGACAAAGAGCTCCGGAAGACGGCAAGCATGAATCAGAAATAATCTGACAGCGAGGAAAATATATCGCACGTGCACTTCGCTCGGAAATGAGAAACGTTTACTGCATTGATCTGTATTGTGTCTTCCTACGGATGGTTGTTTTTCTCGCTGTCTTCATTACCCTCTCTCAGCGACTGAGCGTGTCCTCGGCTCCTCCGCTCTACCTCCAGCACCGTGGCTCAAAAAAGGGGGGGGCGGGAAATAGAATCAGTAAGGGGCAGCAGTCCTTCGGTCTGCATGCAGCACAAGCTTACGGTGACAGGCTACTTCCACGAATCACAATCGTGTCAGACCCCACGAAATGTGCCAGCACGCGGGAAGGCTGGCAAGCAGGAGGAGGCCTGCTCCTCGCGCCCTCCCTCACGAGGCCTCAGCTCCGCCGGCCCCCCGTGGGGTGAATTAGGAGAGGGTATTCCAACGCTCAAATGCCCGCTGTTCCGGCCACGGCACAGGAAATATAGCCCACCGTTTGTGGAAGCTGCAGGAGCATATCTTGCCGGTATGTAGAACCATCGGTCTTTGCATTAATTAACGGAGATGTAGCTGGTCTTATCCGTGAAGCGGGTTCGAGATCGTATCCTTTGCACCGCCTACCATGTCTTGCTGTTTTCCTGTGAATAGAGCGCACGTCCTTACCAAATTGTCCGCGCACTGATTGAACTACTCTTTCTTGTCCAATACAACAGTCGAAACCAAAGGAAATCATGCCGGGAGAGGTACGTGGATATGAATGGGGATGGTTTGGGGTTTTTTCTGCACCGAACAAGAAAACTTCGAATGATGAATCTTTGTTTGCCATCATGTACCCGGGTCTCGGAGACATGGGAAAAGCAATACGACGTTTCGTGTTAGTGAGCCTGAGTGGTTGGCCTGGTGCGTTGGTACTAAGGTTTCACTGATTTGTGACTTGTCATCCTGTTGCCTCATCCTAGGTCCTTCGGGTCGGTGTGATTGGAGTGGGGCGAATCGGTCGCGTTCACATCGAGACGATCCAATCCATCAAGAATGCTGTAGTTACTATGGTTGCCGATATTTGGGAGGAAGGGGCGAGGCAAGTCTGCGAGCAGTACGGCATCCCCAAGTACGTGAAGGATTACAAGGATCTCATCGCCGCCGCGGATGTAGACGCCGTACTCATTTGCTCGCCTACGGATCAGCACGCTTCTCAAATTATCGAAGCATCGCGTGCGGGCAAAACAATCTTCTGTGAAAAGCCCATTTCTTTAAATTTGGAGATCATTGATGAGGTGTGCAACGTGGTTGAAGAGACGGGTGCTCTGTGTATGGTAGCATTTCAGCGCCGTTTTGATCCCACCTTTCGCCGTCTGCAAGCTGCGGTGACAAAGGGTGAAATTGGTGACGTCCACATGATCGCCATCACCTCGCGAGACCCGGGCCCGCCGCCGGTCGCCTATATTGCCCAGTCGGGAGGCTTGCACTGCGACATGGCCATCCACGATTTCGACATGGCACGCTTCATCACTGGGTCCGATATAGTCGAGGTCTTCACCAAGGGCGACTGTAAGATAGACCCGGCAATTGCGGAGGCTGGCGACATCGATACCTCGCTGGTAGTGCTCAAGTTTGCAAATGGCGTCATCGGCACTATTTCGAATTCCCGGAAGGCCACCTACGGCTACGACCAGCGCGTGGAAGTGTTCGGCTCGAAGGGCATGATTCAGTCTGAAAACCTGCGCCCTAATATGTGCACGCTGGCCACGGCAGAGTCCGTGCACCAGGACCTGCCTTTCAATTTCTTCATGGACCGCTACACCGAGGCCTACAAGGTGGAGATGGAGGAGTTCGTCAAATGCGCACTTGCCGGCTCAAAACCCCCTTGCGGTGTCGCAGAGGGGCGTGCCGCCACGAAGGTAGCGATGGCTGCCGCGGCCTCCATGAAGTCGAACGCCCCTGTTGCGCTCTAAGGCATCGACGCAGAGATGCGTGTTGGATGCCGCCGACCTCATCTCTCCCTTTGCGCATGATTACAGCCAGGATCGCTAGTCTTGGGTATAGGTCGCGGGGAATATATGAAGCAAAGAAAAGGTTATACGAGTAACGCACGATCAAGGCAATCAGTCGCACGGTTGTCTTCACACTCGTTGGGTTTGTTACGAAAGCGGAGGCGGAATGGGGTGGGGAGTGTGCTTGAGAATCGTTAACTTTGGATGAAGAGGTT